TTTTCGTTTTAGTCCCTATAGAATGGAACCCCAGGTTTGGTCCGAATTCCAACAGGGATATGTTTAACCATTCGCTCTTTGCCATGAGTCCGTGTTCCTAAAGCAACTAGGCCAACGAAAGGTGATTAGTCCCTTCATTGGAAAATTAAGTTCCGCATTCATGTGCCTAACATTTATGCATACTACATTCATTGTTTTTCAGGTTCCACTCTCTTTGAGCTAGAGCTCCCAGAAGGCTCAGAAGCGGAAGGATTCTCAACAGGCCCTTCACCCTCAGGTTCAATCTCCGACACCAAGATAGGCTCGGGACCACCTGAAGCTTCCTCATTTTCGGATGTTTCATCCAGTACCCACCTGCCGTCAAGGGGCAAGAGGGTTCTGGCCAAATTCTTCGCCCACTTCACCACATCCGGGTGGTCTTCCAAAAGCTGGTTTTAACAGCTGTCATCGAGGCCAGTGTTCTTCTCCCCGTGTCTCTTGTCGGTGAAGTCTCAGGATTCAATGGCCAGCAAATCAGTACTGACCATGGTCGTGCTAAGGCATCTTGTGTCATGCATGTCATGCATGCCACTTATGCTCATGCCACCTGATGTCATGTCATGTCATCCTAACAACTCATGGCAAGTCATGTCATTGTGTCAAACCGTGCCATGCCATGCCATGTCATCATGTCAAACCGTGCCATGTCATCATGTCAAACCATGCCATGTCATCATGATGTATGGCCATGCAATGCCAACACATGAATGCCAACACAACTTCATGCAATGTCATTTCAGGATACGATGAGGGAAGAGAGTGTCCGCATACACTTCCAGGATGACAAACTCTGCGTGGTCCGAAGCCTTTGGATGAGGTACAAGTGCTCTGCGGAAGCCTCACGAGCTCTAATGAAAATGACATGACCGTGTGTATTGGCCCCAAAGTCATGCACATGATTGCGGTGCCCAACCTAGATATCAGATCATCACACAGCATATCCTAGCACATGCAAAAACAAGCAACCATGGCACAACGCCACCCAAAAAGAAGTCATTCGCCCCCACCCCGTTTGGAAGTTGAGCACCAAGGCACCGTCAGTTGAGTCCCCCCTCAGAGACCATAGGCACTGTCACATCCCGTCAATACTTGCCGAACAACAGGCCATGCTACAGGTCATGTGACAGCTCATGTGACAGGTCATGTACAGGTCATGTGGCATGGTCATGTCAGGTCATGAGTCCATGGCAATTGCAAGTCAAGCTACTGTCCGTGAAATCCACGGTACTCAAACTTGCGACCACATGCTATGAGCTGGATAGTCCCATAGGTAGTCCCAGTGGAACCAGCCGCCATGGAAGATGTGAGAGAACTTTGCTCTTAGTCGACGTGCACGGCCAACAGTCAAAAAAAATGAACAGTGACAAATCAGTGACAAATTGGTGCGAGGATATATTGACTGAGAACTATTAGAATCAACACATCAACACAAGATGCCATGCAAGCCTGTTGGGCCTGTTGAGCGGAATGGCGTGTCGGGGTCGCAGCAGGATTACAGTACAACATGATTGCGGTGCCCACACGGCTTCTTCAACCAAGGTAAACAGGTCAGGAGCACTAATCCGGCCAAAGTTCAGCTGAAGTGTTTGGCTGCACGGCCCAGCTTTTGAACCACTGGACATGGCATGGCAACATAGATGCATGGTGACATGGCAATCCCCGACATGTATTCCATGCATGCCATGACATGGCAATCCCCGACATGTATTCCATGCGTGCCATGCCATGCCCTAACATGACAAGCCCCTGACATGTATTCCATGTCATGCCATGACATGACAAGCCCCCGACATGTTTTCCATACATGCCATGCCATGCCCTAACATGACAAGCCCCCGACATGTATTCCATGCATGCCATGTCATGCCATGACATGACAAGCCCCCGACATGTATTCCATGCGTGCCATGCCATGTAACATAACTGGACATGACAAACCATGTAGCCCATGAATGCCATACCATGAGAGACCCTCCAAAACCCCCCACCTCATGACATACCTTTCCAAACCACCCCCCCACCCAGCATCAAAAAAGTTTTGGCATCATTTTTTGCAGATTTCTTCATATAGTGATTTAATGGACGCTTATAGTGATTTAATGGACTTTTATAGTGATTTAATGGACTTTTATAGTGATTTAATGGACTCTTATTAATGATTTAATGGGCTCTTATAGTGATTTAATGGACTCTTATAGTGGGCTCTTATAGTAATTTAAAGGACTCTTATAGTAATTTAAAAAACTCTTATAGTGATTTAATGGAATCATATAGTGATTTTGTGGACTCTTATAGTGTTTTTGTAGACTCTTCCAATAATTTAATGGGCTCTTATAGTGATTTAATGGACTCTTATAGTGATTTAATGGACTCTTATAGTGATTTAATGGACTCTTATAGTGATTTAGTGGACTCTGATAGTGATTTAATGGACTCTTATAGTGATTTAGTGGACTCTGATAGTGATTTCATGGACTCTTATAGTGATTTAATGGACTCTTACAGTGATTTAATGGACTCTTATTGTTTTTCATGGTCTCTTATTGTTTTTCATGGACTCTTGTAGTGATTTAATGGACGCTTATAGTGATTTAATGTACTTGTACAGAGATTTAATGGACTTCTATAATGATTTAATGGACTCTTATAGTGATTTAATGGACTCTTATAGTGATTTCATGGACTCTTACAGTGATTTAATGGACTCTTATAGTGATTAAGTAACTCTTATAGTGATTTAATGGACTCTTATTGTTTTTCATGGTCTCTTCTAGTGATTTAATGGACTCTTATAGTGATTTAATGGACTCTTATAGTGATTTAATGGACTCCTATAGTGATTTAATGGGCTCTTTTAGTGATTTAATGGACTCTTATAGTGATTTAATGGACTCTTATAGTGATTTAATGGACTCTTATAGTTATTTAATGCACTTTTATAATGATTTAATGGACTCTTATAGTGATTGCATTGAGTCTTATAGTGATTTGATGCACTCTTATAGTGATTTAATGGACTCTTATAAGGGTTTCATGAACTCTTATAGTGATTTAATGGACGCTTATAGTGATTTAATGGTCTCTTCTAGTGATTTAATGGACTCGCCTAGTGATTTAATGGACTCTTCTAGTGATTTAATGGACTCTTATAGTGATTTAATGGACTCTTATAGTGATTTAATGGACTCTTATAGTGATTTAATGGACTCTTTTAGTGATTTAATGGACTCTTATAGTGATTTAATGTACTCTTCTAGTGATTTAATGAACTTTTGTAGTGATTTTATGGAATACCCTCTGGTAATCAAACATAGCAAGGGAAAATCACCCATTGATAGATGGATTGTACAGTAGATGGTTTTCCCATGAAAAAACCTCCGTTTTATATGGGATTTCACTATTGTAATAGATGATTTATAATAGATGATTACTCATATAAACCATTGTATAGTAAATAGATCGTTTTATATGGGGGATGTCACATTGCCACCTTTGATTACTGACAAGCTGACAAGCTCCATGTGTTCCAGCCCAGCTGTGAGGATGATGTTCGAGATTTCGAATGGAATCGTCTTAAGCTAGGGATCTACCAGGGATCTAGCATCATGCAGCAACACTCCCACAATGAGCGAGGTTTCTGACGTCTGACATAATTTATTCTGGCAACATTTCGGATGACATCAGGATTACGAGAGAAAAAACACAAAGAAAGAATGCAAAAAAACGCGTTGACATTTGGCGAAAAATCTCGACCCTGAAAAGAGTGTCATCTAGGAACAATAGGGATGCACTGATAACACGTCATGACGTCATGATCATCTCCATGGATGCCATAGCTTCCCCTCGCCTTCACGTGGCCATTCCTGGAAGCCCAGTGCAAAGGAGTGCCTCGGAGCGGCGATCCCATCTGAATGCTCTGAATGCTTCGCTGATTCGATGCCGATTCTTTGCTGCTTAAAACTACTTCAATCTGATGTTTACTTAGTTTACTTGGTGAAATCGTGTGAATTTAAATCATGAAATCACGGTAAATCTTGAATTGTGCTGCTTAAAGAAGTTTCAATCCCTACCTTTGCGACTTAAATTCAGCCATGATCATGGCCAACTATTTATTAATAATTCATAAAGATATTGTACAGAGATCTAGTGAATTTGTATGTGTATATATATATGTATGTATGTTTGTTTATGTTGTTGTGATTTCCGGCATCATCCAAGCATTTGCTGAGATGAACCGGCGTTTGCTCTCGTTGGAAGCATTGACATCCGCCCGTTCCTGCGGCATGCGAGATGATACCGTGCTCTCTAGATATTGCAAGAGACTAGTCAATCAAACACTGAGGTTGTGCATGGTTGTGCGGAAGCAAACATTGAGTCCTATGTCTAGACTCTTGGACGAAATTCTGCATGAAATTGATGTAGATTCCAAACAAAAAAAAACATAACACCGAAGCACTTGCCTTGGATTTGCTGTAATTTCCTTTGCACATTTCGCCTCCTTGCACCAGAGTCCATGCCTTTAAAGCAAGACCAGGAGGTTTGTTGTAAAAAGTTGAGAACAACGTAGAACACCTCCTTAACATTACTTGACGATTAAACAATATTAAACATTATATAATAAACAATCTCACAACCCGTAAAATGTGCAAGTCGCGAGTTTTGCAGAATGGGAGATATTTGCCTTTTATTTCCGCGGAGCAGTCCTGCCTGATTTTCATCCGTCGCTGGTTACACTTCAAAAACAGATCTTAGGAACGTCCCTTTGTTCCAGGGACATCAAAAATCAGTGGTTATCTTCGAAAAAAATGGTGCCATTTTGACACATATATCAGGAGGTTTCCGTTTCGTCATAGGGGTACCCCTAGTTATCATCCATTTATGAATTTATAGATGGTATTTTCCCATGGAAATAAACCATCCAGCGATAAAGGGGGTATCATGGAAAATCATCCCAGAGCCCTTTAGCTGGATCCTTTGGATCCGGAGCTCCTCCACCAGCCATTTGGCAACTTCAAAAGCACCGCTGGTCGCCTGAGGATCCATGGCTGTGGAAAATCTGCTGCAAATGATTCGAAAACAACCATGCAATAAGATGAATAAATCGTGATGTCGCGTTTCTATCATAGGTGATGGGAGTGAAAGAGGTATCGTTGGAGTGTTGCAATATGTTGCAATGTCATTCCGGGACAGAGATGCCAAATCTCTCTTGTTACCCTCCATGCCTGCTTCTCATGACAAAAATTGCTGGCTATGCAGGCAATACATACAGCATCCCTCATGTTGGGAAGTTCATCATGCTGCCAAGGTGCAGCATAGAACAGCGGAGTGAAACCCTGGTCGAAGGTACCTGAAGCTCAGCAGGAGCAGCACAAAAATGGTTACTATTCTAGTCTTATTGGCTGGTTCCTACTTATCCCATGGCATCCTCAGATAAATCAGAATAAGAACCGACGACCCACCTTAAGACCGCTTAAGACTAGGTCTTCTTCGAGCAAGTTGCATGGCTATGGCTGAAATTGATCAGTCCACATCAGCCTTCAACAGGGGTTGGTAACTGTCCGATTTTGGGTATATTGGACATCACCTTATAGTAGCCATTATATACCATATACCTAATGGTTGGGTGATGTTCAATGGGGACATTTAATGACCCATGTTCAATGATCTTCAATGGATGGTTCACTAAAAATGCCCAGTCTTGTTCAGCAGTCCCCAAATTTGGAGCCATAGTCATCTGATCCTTGGACCTTCCTGCAGCCCAGCAGCCGTTGACGCTCAAGTTGGAGGCTGCCACCAGCTTTTGGGCTTCCTGGGACCCGAAACGGACCCATGGGTGGTACTCAAAAAAAAAACAAGCATAGTGATGATTTGGGGATATCACAGGCAACAATGTGAATGATGGCTGATCTTAAGCAACAAATTTGGTGATTCTTGAAAAACAGGGCCAGTTTAGTATAACTTCAGCAACATTTTCCCAGAACGGTGGTCAGGAATGGAGGCTTGCCCCTCTTTCATCAACCACCGAGTGGGATGTTGCTGCAACAGTCGAAATGCAGGGTGCAAAAGCAACGGGGAGAGCTGGTCACTAAGCATCATTTGCAAACTGCCCCAAGCGAAGTTCCGATTTACAGTTGAAAAAAATGAGGGAATGAGGGAAAAGATCATCCAAGAATGGTAGAAATCAGCGCGAAATTCAAAACCACCGAAAAAAAAAAGCTCATGATTTACATTGATTTCCATCGGGAATTCCATGCTTCATATTTCCCCAGGGCAACAAGACCACCTCTTCCATGGGTCGACTGTCCTCTAAGTCACCATGAGAGCAAGCAGTACCTGGAGCTACTTTGGGCAGTCCAGCAATGGTCCCCCGAAAATCGCCAGATCACCGAAGTGGGCTTTCAGAACTGGTTCATACAAAGTGGGCGGGTCCAAGTTTGGTTTATAAACTCATTGAATCTCAATTTAGCTGTAGAGATATATATATATATATGATACATCCAGCATAAATTCAGCAGTTCTATCATCAGGTCCGCTTTTCGGTCGTACAAAGGGCTGGAAGCCCTGAATGAAGTGCAGGATCGTTGACCAGACCTCGGTCGGTTGGTCGCCGTTTTTGGTCGTCCATGGCTGGATTTCCCAGCATGGTTAATTCATGGGGACGGGGACGTCCCTTTACACAACTTATTAAAGGGGTTGTACTATGTTGTACTACCCATGTGGGGCTATGTTATGATAAAGGGATGTAAAGGGTAATTCTAATCCCCGAACACACAAAAACCAACAGGGGGGTTGAACACTGCTCAAACGTTCAACGGTGTTTTGAAAACAACAAAAAGATGAGTAGTAGCCTCCGGTAATCAGCTCGATGTGCTGGAAGATCTACCAGCTACACGGAGCCATGTCCCCCCTTTTTTTTGTTGGCTCCAGAAAGCACTACTGTTTGCGGCAAGCATTCTGTAGTCTGGATATGGCTGGATATTCAATATCATCATCTGCAAAAGGAATTTACTTTGTGTACGGTGGATACAGTATACATGATGAACAATCTGATGTATACATTTGCTTTCAGCGCGTGTATCTCTGCAATCTCTGAGGCTCTTTGTAAACATGTCAGATCTTCCTAAACACAAAATTTAAGTACAGTATATCTTTGATATCTTTGATCCCCTGGGATCCCCTCAAGGGGCCCCGGGCTGACGGCGAAGCGCTCGCTGGCCTTGATGCCCTTGGGCACCACGGCCTGACGACTGGGGGATCCTCCTATTCCACTGGCCTTACGGGGAGCCAGTAGAGTTTCTGCACCATGGAATATCTATAGTATAAGATAGTATAAGTATGGAATATCCCAAAATAAACACAGTAAATCGATGTTTTTATTTTTTTTATGAGTCATGTACGGGTTGTAAACCACTATGACTGCTATGCACAAGAACACCCAGCTGATTCCCCATTCCCAATGCTGGTGCTTCGGCATTTGCCAAATTTCTGGGGGTGCAACTGATGTAAATGCTCTGTATGATTCTGTGTGACCCACCTTTCGCCACCTACAAGTTGTCGACATAACTCACATCACGCCGCTGAAGTCACATCGCGAGCATTGTTCAATTCATTGCGGGCGCCAATGAATTCCGCAAATCATAGAAAGTGGCTGAATTCAAGGAAACATCGCCCGCGCGCGCGCAGTCAACATGCACTTTTTCCTTTGAAATCACCTGCGGAAATCAACAAAACATTGCGCGCGCGCGCAGTCATAGTACACTTACTGTAACCAGAAAAACCAGTTAACCAGCAAACGCCAAGCAATGCATGCTTGTTGGAACTAGTTCAACAAATCGGGGACAGTTCGTGCGAGATCCCCCAAAGAATTTACAATATATAGGTATATAGGGGACATTTGATCAAGAAATTGTGCCACAAATGCATCAAAATTGGTATGGAAGCAGCGAGCATTAGGGACATCATGTTGATGTTTGACCAATAAAAAGTGAGGATTTCCCCACTTTGTGGCGAGAAACATCACCAAACTGAGCGCCGAAAAGAAAAGGATTGGCCTAAGACATTTCAGGCGATTTCACACATGTCACTCATTTCACACCCATGGGTAGGGTGGTGGCTTCAAATTGGCAGTCACTTTTTTCTTTTTTTTCGGATCCACAATGCTAGCAATGCCATGGTCACCATCCCACCATGGGTGAATCATAGGGATGGTGACTGGTCTGGCACACCAATTGAATCATTACTGAAGGCTATTGGTCTGGAGAATAGACCTATAGATGTTCTGATGGATATTATATAGAATATTTAGATATCTGCAATATCAATTATATATGTCTTTGGTTAACAGCCGATAGATATTAGTTATTGGTGAACCGATCATTCGTTAACCAAAAACATCCGTCTCCAGCTGCAGTGGTTAACCGATCGTCCGCCTTCATCAAGCCACCAGGGCCCTGAATCTCAATCTCCTGGGCAAAATTTAGGGCCCTAAAATTTAGGGCCCCAAAAATGGGATAGTTTATAGATGCATATGCTATTAACATCTATTAAATATGGATGATAACTGGGGGTCCCATTCTAGGACACCTCCAAATTGGCTGGGATACAGCCAGGTTTTACACCATGATACATGTGTATACACTGTGGGACAACCTGTCGACAGTATAACATACAATTCATACATTCCTGGATGCCGGTGCGTTGCGAAGCATGGTGAAGCACAGCCATGTACCAACCATGGTCCATCATCCTACACGTGACACGACCCGGACAGCTCCCAGATTTACCATCAATGGGTGGTATAAACCATCATTATATATGGTTTATCATTGGTTTTCTAAGATGAGAGAAACTCATTGAAAACATGATTCCCTTACTTAATTAGGATAATTCTCCGCAGCCTGAAATGCTGGGATCATTTTCAGACGCTTCCCTGTACTAAGTTACAGTCACCTCACAGTAGGGTCGTTCGAATTCGACCGGATTCATGACTTGGCAACAGTGTGATAGCTCCTCCATGTTTGTGGCTACAAATATTACATAAAATAAAGAGATTATATTTCAAATTATATTTGATACAGCATCTAAGTCTAAAATGATATCATGTCACATTATTTCTGAATTGTTTAAATATATGTATATTATACATATGTATATATATATACATATATATATATATTTATATATAGCATATCAGATCATAGATGTTTAGATATTTCAAATCGAGCCATGATAAACATCTATGGCCCATATGGCTCACCATGGCCAAGTACCGTAAGCTCCCCACCTCGCCAGCTTTTCTGCCCTCAGGCACTGTGACTAGCAACTGGCTAGGGCCCAAGTGCACCTGCCAGGCAGCTCGGATTTGCGGAAGCACTATATGGTAAATGGAGGTAAATGCTGTGGATGTATTTTTTGTTACTGATATCTACTATCTACTCTATATATATCTATATTATATATATACATATGATTGAAGATAGGGTAGCCCCAAAACCCTTCTGGTTTATCACCACCTCACCCCGACCCCATCAACATGGCAACTGCTTGGTGGGTATCGCCCATTTTGAGACAGATCCGTTTGGGGGGTTAGCTAGTGCACAAAAAACTGTAACAACTTTCCGCTTATGAAGAAAACTGCTCTTTCCGGTTTTGCCCCTCTTTGGTCTGGAAAAGAGATAGGTCTCCGGGGTCTCCGGGTTCTCCGGTCATGTTTCCCCAGACATCAACCAGTGGACCAGTCTCAGGGATGGATTCCTGTTGTGTCCTTTTTGGGGGGCAAGAGGTTGGTCACCCTCCACTGGGACCAATTGAGGTAGCTAGCAGCTAGCCTCGTCAAGGAATCCTTGAGATGATGAGATGAGATGACGTATAATAAACCCATCAATTCATCAATCAAGGTGCATAAAGTGTGCATAAATATCTATGTGTATCTTATGTATGTTTATCTATGTTTATATGCATTTGCACCCAAGCACTTGCTGAGGAGGAGGCACTTAGATGCATTGGACACATGTATATTGCCGGGATAGGATAGGTTGAGCAAATGGCAAATCACCAGAACATTGACGCAAAAATAATGACCACATGTTAATGCCAAGATGGAATGAAACTGGATGATTAATATAATACATGAATGATTAATATATATATATATATAATTATATATACGTGTACTTGAAATGAAGAAGACCCTAAGGCCCCAACATAGTCCGCTACGTAGTCCCCTACATGGTCCCCTACATAATCCCCTTAAATGCTACAGGCCCGTTTGGTGGTCCCTCAGGAGACTCGGTTGGCACCTCAAAAGTGTCTCCCGGCTGTCTGCCTCACATGGACAACAATGGAAGGCCTATGAACTTTACTTCTGTCCCCTAAGGGTACCATCTGGTAATCAAACATGGCTTGCTGGAAATTCCCCCACAAATAAAGGTGACTTTCTCATTTTAGTGGCCATTGATGGGGGATTTGCACATTGCCAGCCACGGCAATGACTGCCAGAGGGTAATTTTTTTATAATAATTTCTTTGTCAAAATCGGGATTGAACCAACGAAAAATGCATAAATTGGATGGATTTGGCCGTCTTTGTGATACTCCATAGAAATATGTTAACCAAAATGGGGGTGTAACACAGCGACCATAAAGGGAGATCGTGGGATAAATAAATATATATAAATCTCTAACCAACAACATGATACTTGGATGTGTCTGAAAATTGGGTATACCGGTATACCCTAAAATAGCAATTTTATTGGTTGAAAGGATGATATCTCCGTGAATTTGGAGAAAATCTCGAGTCTCGAGGCCATAGAAGTGGCGATTTCCAGTGTCCTCCGGTCCAGGCTTGAAGGCCCTCTGCAATGGCTAGCGATACGGATCAACAAGGACATCGGTGGGTGGATTCAAAAATCATAAAAATCTAAATTCGATCGACCACATCGATGTCTCAGCAGTTTCGTAACTATATGTCCCGTCCCTTCCTTGTCGTTTCTTTTTGTTTGATCATCCTCGCCCCAAACGTTCAAAACCAAAGTTGCAAACAATCACACCACCAGCAGCCCAAAAATGCCCCTTACACTCAATCAGACATGGACAATCCCATGGCATCCCATGGAACCACCTTTTTGTGCTCACCTGTCCTACAGATCTTCCCCATGGGCCTTCAGGGATGATCGCCCTCATGTGTTGGCCATTGGCATCAAAAAACAGCTCATCGCCTGCCGTTAAAAACAGCTATCGTCTGGGAGGGTTGGAATGGGAGACCAACCGAAACCCCCGAAACGGGTGACGAATTGTGACGCTCCTGAGGGTCCAATAAATGTGGGTACTTTGAGAATTTTGGGCATATAATTTACAATCATATGACTATGACTATAAAAAAATGTATGGGTATCATTGGCATCATGACGAGAATGTGGAGGTTGAAAGGAACTAAGGACGCTGCAGTATTTGTTGTTGCTGATGTATGAATCACTTGTTGGATCAATCCATCCTCAATATGCACCTGCCTAATCCATCCTCATCCTAGATACCTGCAAAATTATTACTGTGTCAACTTATGTCAACCCATTTATAAAGGGATTTTACTGATTTTACAGCATAAAATGCCGTTAAACGTTCACCTACCCGTCACCGAGGCTGGCCACGGAGCCTCCTTTTTTGTCCTCCGGCACCGTCAGCAGAAAGCACGCGGGCCTCATCCACTTCGATGACCAGGAGAGATGTGGAGGGCGACAGTTCCAATCACCAAATTTGGATGTCACCCCACTATGTTCCCTTTTTATTTCCCGTATATCCAACCACTACACTGTTGCTTGTACCAGTGTACCAACATGAAATAATTACCATGTTGTTTGGTGCAAAAGTCTCAAAAAACTAAGGGTGATCAAATTACCGTGGTCTCCCCTGGGGATCATCATCCTCTCTTGCTGAACATTTAGAACATATCTCAAGCCGACAAGCAGGCGCACCCAGACTGCGGAGGTGGTGGAAGGGCCACATGAAACTCATCTCCTGGCTCCTTCCCTGCCAGACCCAGGCTGGTTGGAGGATATGGAAACTTGACGACCTGTCTACATATCATTTGATGTCTAAGGTCATATTTTTTTGGAGAGAAGTCACCCAACAAAAAACTGGTGTTACTATATAACGTTACTGTTTTGGCAAAACATGTGATATCATGTGATGTTACCAATGGAAATCGCATTCAGAATGGACCAAACCAACACAAATTGGCACACAGCAAGTAATTAAACACAGCATCTCATTGCAAAAATCCAAACTCTCTGTCCCTGCGGCCTTGCTCCATGAAAAACATGCTGAGATCTTCGGGCGATATAGAGACAACTCAATTTTTCCCCAAAACGCTGGCGACCAAAAAAAACGAAAACCCAGTTGTTTGATTCATCAACTATCATGTTTTACATTCATTTGTTGGAAAAAACATATATATATATAATATCGAAGGGATATTCCAATTAAACCATATTAAACCGGCTGAATCAAACCAACTAATCATGTATTTTTTCGAAAACCCCGCCTTCCGGAACCACGGCTTCCAAATTGTAGCCGTGAGGCCTCAACTTGAAAAAAGGATGAAACCACGGATGATGAAATCATCATTTTGGATGACGGCCATGATTCTTTTCATGAAACCTTGTGGGACTGCAATCTCGAATAAAAGTAATCTGAGGATATCTGAGGTAGAGAAATGCTGGGCAATTATCATGTTGAACGAAAGTAAGGAGTGCACCAACCAAAATCGAGCCTTGAAATGGGTATGGAGAACACAGAGGGGAAAATTTCTTGGTGCTTACGAATAAACCATCCAGAGTGAAAATTGGTTGGTACTTTCTAATAAACCATCCAGACTTTTGGATCAATAATTTCTGCGACACTTCCATCAAGATGCATCGACCAATTTGAGCTGGTGAAACATTCATGGCAATTCTAAAACTGACACCATGCATTCATTTACAAAAAATATATATATATATATAAGCATCCGTGCGGGGGGGGCTAACAGGACGGTATTTTCAACATTGAAAATCACAATCCCTTGCGCCAGTCCGCGAAAATTGTGTGTTATTTTAGGCTCAAAAAAATATCCAAAATCAGACAGCATTTTGCAAAAAAAACATTTTACCACAGTTTCAGAACCCTTTGTCGGTCAACTGCACTTTCTACCCTCATATCTTCGCTGGCTTTTTCAATTGCTTGGCAGTCGCTCGCAGCACGCAGTCCCTGCTGTGCTTTGCTGATCTTTGTTGATCTTGCCTTTCTTTCTGGTATGAATGCCCGGTGGAAGCTTATCTCTGATTTTCTTCCACGTGCAATCGATACCACCTGTGTGCACACTCAAAGCTGGTTTTGGTCCTCTTCGCTTCAAGCGAACAAATTCTCCAGCAGCGTGATTCACTTCCTCATGTTTCAACTGGTATGTCTTCAACAAGGAGGGGTATGCCTTTGCACCATCAGTGACCAAGTAAGATCCCTTTTGGATCTTCTCCATGTTTGCAAGTGCGAGAGAAGATCTTGTTAACGTAGCATGAAGATCGTGTTCATGTGAACAGGAACGTCAATAGCCTCCCCCAACCCCCCACCCCCACCCACCCCACCCCAGCAAAAAAAAAATGAAAAATCTTGTCCAGTTTTCCCCCCGCTAGCTCAAAAACATAATATGTATAATACAGACATATATATATATATAACTAAATATATATATATATACACATAGTTATATATAAAAGAGCGCGGCTAAAGTTTTAGAACTTGCAAACGATGGCTATCACCAAGTGGTAAGGGTCAAGGCCTAGCAACCCCGTCCCCTGCTAGATGTTGGCCTGAAGCATTGGTGATTTTTCTGGGGGGTCTTAATGGGACATAACGATCCAACATGGCGGCATTCATGAATAGAAGGGGTGACCTAGTTTCAGACAATTCAATGAAAATCGAAGCAGAAACCATCGATTTGATCAACCAAATTAGATTTAGCATGATTAAGCATTTATACATATTTATACAACCATGTATAATTAACGTCCCTTTGCGGCTAGAAGATCCATGAAGATCCAAACGGTTTGTGCAAAGTCGAACGACGGATCGGCCATGCCTTGGATCCGATGCGAGACGAACACAACCGAAAGTCTTTGATTTACGGAAGAAAATGGAAGTTGTTATTTTTATGTGTGTAACTATATGGAAGTATAGCACAATAAATATAAAATGGAAAATCATAGCGTATGTAACTCTTATTTTTATTTATACATGTTTATATTCTAATCTCAGGTTGAAATGCCTAACCTACATTGTCTCTTTGCTTTGGTCAAATTCAGGACATCCACTTGATCACTTGGATCGGTGCCGAGTTCTGTGGCGCCCTGCCCCAGGAAAACAATCTTTTCGCCTCGGAGTTGGGATGTGGCACTTCAGTTTGCTGATGGTTGCTATAAATCAAGTTGAACATTTCAGCGATTTCATGTCTTCTCCATATTTGTTCATCCATGACGCTGCATGATGACACAAGGTCTCAAGCCAGTTGTCACCATCAAAAGGATATACGGAATGGAAGCTGTCGCGCGCCTGGTTTCACACCTTCCGGCACCTTTACTCTGGCCTGCGGCTGCACAACCGCACAGTGCTGGGGTTTCGGGCGTATTTTTCAGTGAAAAAAAAAATCATCCAGGATCCAATCTGAGAGTTGTATCCCCATCTTTCATGTTTTTTTCCTGGTGATTTTCTGCATGTTTTTTTTCAATCCCAATCTTTGATGGCACCGGCGCATCACCTGCTATCATCCCCATCTTGGTTGGTGATATTGCACCATGTGGCTGCTACGCCTTGATGTAAAACACAAACTCCACACATGTTTTTTCTCCCAAAAATTGAATGCAGCGGTAAAGCAGGCTTCTGCCGGGATGTTTCGATTTTTGGAAAGGGATTAAACCATGATTCTACCATTTAATTCATTGGTTAAAACCATGGTAAACCATTCATTTCCTCGCCAGCATTGTTGGGTATATCATCCCATGATATCCATATTGGTTATCTCCTTTGCGCCTGGGTGGGTCCCGACGGTTGAGGCATCTGGATGAGGACAGTAAACCTCCAAAGAGTGCGTTGAAAAACAAGAAATCCTGGTTTTCCAAGTGGGTGACCTAACATATGTATATAAATAAATAAATAAATATATATATATATATTATTATATTATCATTAAATATATATATATATATATTATTATTAGTTTGTGTATATATCTGAAATTATGGGAATATGTATATATATATGTTAATATAATAGTTACAGATTTATTCATGATTATGTTAGGTTATCCTCTGATTACTGAGGTATTCCTCCATCCGAGTAATATGCTCAGACAGTAGCTCACTGACCTGACAAAACTAAGGTTTACCCAGACTTGAAGAGACTCGACTTGCGAAGGCACTGCCTGAACATTGGAGACTTTACCAGCTGGCAGCTCCAAAAATTGGCCATGACACTACATTTCAATAAAATCCCGTAGCCTCTGGTAATTTAACATAGCTATTGAAAATGGCCATTTATAGTGGATTTACCAATTAAAAATGGTGATTTTCTATAGCTATGTTAGTTATTTGCAGAAGCAGCCCCATTCTGTCACTAATTTGGCGAATCAAAAAAGGGCCGCAGAGATTCAACCGGTTGAACCGGAACCCTGGAAAGAAATAAAAAGGGTGCCAGCTTGGGCCATGAATTAGTCTTTCCTGAACTGGAACTGCGAATATAATATATATATATATATTTACATTTATGTATATATATAAGTACATAACAATTTGAAATTTATCGCTATTTTAGAGTCGGAATTTACTTTTCTATCGTTTTGAAAAACGACTCTAAATCTTAATGGTTCCCAGATCGTTCATCCCTGAGCACTCTGACTCCTCCCCGGGTTTCTTGTCCTCAGGCACCTACGCCGGGATTCATGGTGAAAAACAGGGATATGGAGATATTTTGGGGATATAATGGGATACTATGGGATAATATGGGCTATGTACAAATGATATTTGATATTGTTCCATAATACAATCAACAATTCGAATGACCCTCCAGTGTCCTCAAACATGGCGATTGCGTAGAAATCCCCAAAACTAAATGGGTATGTTTTTTTTGCGGTGGAAATCGTCGAACTAAATATACTAAATTGGGCAAACCATGGAACTGATTGCCAGAGGGTACCTCAATTCCCATGCGTCATGAGCTAATCCCTATGTTCAATCACAACCATGGTTAATCCAAACAAGAAAACATCCAAGTGACGATGGACATCAACATGACATACCGAGAATCTGACATAGCCCCCTGCAAAAATGATTTACCTATCAAAACTTGGTTTTTACCATGGCAATCTTGAATTAACCGGAGGGCCCGTGCATGCTGGAAATTATGCGGATGAAACCCTTGCAGACTGATGGGACTGGGCTCTTATGATATTTTTAAGCACAACCCTAGCTAGCTACAATTTTTGTTTTCGAGGTCTGGGCCAGCCTCCCGCCCCCCGCCCCCAGCCCCCAGTAGGTATCTTACTACATCTTGTAGTGTATCTTCTAGTTGTGCCACAGCGCCACCTTTAAACAACCTTCCTTGTTCCTTTGTGTATGTGTGTAAGGCAGCTCAAAGATGTAGAGGGGAAACTTGTCAGTACCTTCAGTCTTGGGCATGTTCATTTGGAACCAAAGCATTTTTTGCAATATTTTTTGGTGCTATTGTGGTGTCCTCTGCTGGTGCCAATTGTTAGTGCAAAACTTGATATTCCAAATTATATAACGACCGATCTAGAATATATGTATATATATATAGATACATATTACGTATATTCATCTAGGTACGTTATGTACATTAATTTCTTTATACAACCATCTATGCAACTAGTCCATATTCTATCAATATGTATATATTTTGACAACTATATACATACATACATACATACATACATACATACATACATACATACATACATACATACATACATACATACATACATACATAAATACATACATACATACATACATACATACATACATACATTACATACATACATACATACATACATACATACATTACATACATACATACATGCATACATACATACATACATACATATATATATATAATATGTGTACCATATATATCCATATTCACTAAAAAACAACTATCCCTATAACTGTATATGTACTAAAGAACTACAGTATAGATACATTCATATCCAGGAGATGATCTCTATCCCATGTTGTTTATTTTTTCCCCATCTGGGGACTTTCCAACGGCTCGGGCCTTCGTTTGCAGCTGCTGACCGCTGGGCGACGTGAAATACACCTAGGAACAACGGGAACAGAACACGGGGAATCGCCTAGCCAGGTGACCTACCCAGTGGATGATGTATGGATTGTATATGGAAGATATATGGTTATGGGTCAAAAGCCTGATACCCTGATGGTACCCTAAGATAGCTGGCTAATGGATGGTTATTCCCCCAGTCATATGGTAATAATAGGTGTTAACCAGCAACAACCACGATCTTAAGTATTGAGGATCTTTTAACCATCCATCTATTGGGAACGTCAGCCTTGGGCTGAATAGAAGTGTGCCCTGCAAATTATCGTTGAACCAATCCAATGGTTCAGGCATCAAGTATGTTTGGGTATTCAAGATGATCTGTACATGAAAAACAGGAAAAAGGAACTAGACTGGAGAATTTTCGCACAACAAACAAATGGGCATGTCCCCACGACTAAGCGAACATGACCCATGCTTTCCGTTTGGTCTATTTTAGGCTGCCATGCTTTGGACCTATCCAGACATTTCTGAAACGCAAAACCTATCATTCAAAACTACCCTTGCACAATATGCATCACATTACTAGTCCGTAGAGTCATTAATTGTCAACTATTCATCTTTAATCATATCCTACCATTAGTGAGTACAAATGATGCTAATAGAAATAGATAGAAATAGATAGAAATAGATAGAAATAGGTAGAATAGATAGAAATAGATAGAAATAGATAGAAATAGAATGAAATAGATAGATATAGATAGAAATAGATAGATATAGATAGATATAGATAGATAAAGATAGATTTAAATAGATATATATAGATATAGATAGATATAGATAGATATAGATAGATATAGATATGTATAGAGATAGATAGATATAGATAGATATAGATAGATATAGATAGATATAGATAGATATAAATAGATATAAATAGATAGATAGATAGATAGATAGAAATAGATGGATAGATAGATAGATAGATAGATAGAGATAGAGATAGAGATAGAGATAGAGATAGAGATAGACATAGAGATAGAGATAGAGATAGAGATAGAGACAGAGATAGAGATAGAGATAGATAGAAATAGATAGCTAGATAGGAATATATTAGATTAAATTAGATTAGATTAGTATAGATAGATAGATAGGCATGTAGATAGGTAGAAAGGTAGGTAGATAGATAAGATAAGATTAGGTTAGATTACATTAGCATAGGTTAGATCAAGATAGATAGAGAGATAGGTAGAGTTAGATAGATAGAGATAGATAGAAATAGATAGAAACAGAGAGAAATAGAGAGGAATATATAGAAATAGATAGGCATAGATAGAAATAAATAGATAGAGATAGATAGAATAGACAGAAATAGGTAGAAATAATTAGAAATAGATAGACATAGATAGAAATAGATAGAAATAGGTAGACATAGATAGAAATAGATAGAACTAACTAGAAATAGATAGAAATAGATAGAACTAGAAAGAAACAGAAAGAAATAGATAGAAATAGAAAGAAATAGATAGAAATAGATAGACATAGATAGAAATAGATAGAACTAGATAGAAACAGAAAGAAATAGATAGAAATAAAAAAACAAAGTTAGACATAGATAGACATAGATAGAAATAGATAGAAGTAGGTAGAAGTAGATAGAAATAGAAAGATACAAATAGATAGATAGAAATAGATAGAAATAGATAGAAATAGATAGAAATAGATAGAAATAGATATATAGAGATGATAGACTGATAGAGATAGAGAGAAAGAGAGATAGATAGATAGAAAGATA